CCCTGCACCCATCTTCCAGCCCGGATCCTTCAGCAGCCTTGCCCAGGCTTTGGGGGCTCAGCGGCTCTGCTCCGTCTCCCCCGTCCTGGGGAGGCCCGGGTGGGTTGGAGGAGGTTGGAAAAAGGACACGAGATTGAGGCCAGTCCCCTCACCATCAACGTCGAATTCAGACGTGGACCTATTGCTTCTACCCCAGAGTGAGCTCGGTCTGTCCTCAAGCCCGTCCCTTTGCACCCGGCTGGTCACAGAGCTCTCCTCTCAGAGCACTGGGAAAAGGCCCACCCGGCTTGGGGACCCCGTGGGCACAGCACTGCCTTGTCATGCGCTTTCTCATGCCCTCGGGGTTCTCGGGGGCCAGGCCACTCCCTGAACCTAAACATGCTCACTTCCCCCACCAGGGCCTTCAGCCTCGGGGCCTGCCCTGCCTGGGGTCGCAGGCTGGTTCCCTGTGGGGTTTGCAGGGACCTCCGGAGACTCCAGCCACTCTGCCCTCCCGAACCACTGCCGGACAGGAGCCCCTTGGCAGGTGATAGAGCCCCTTGAGTTACTCCGGACCCGCCAGCACCACTGCCGGACCCCCTGGGTCACCCACGTGTCCAGGTTATCGGAGACGGCTGCTATTCATGATCTGCTTGTCGACCCGTCCCCACCTGTTCGTTTTTTCTGGGGTCTTGTGCCACCACCTTTATCATACCCACCCTGCGTTGTCCTCCCCGTCAGCACAGCCGCTTAACAGAGGGGCGCTGGCGCCCGGCCCACGGAGGAAACCAGGGTGGAGGGGCCTCGCATCCGTGGAGAGCTGTGTCCCGCACAGCTGTCTTGCCGTGGCAGAGAGCCCTTTGAAGTCAGCGCTCGGTCCCCGCTGTGCCAAGGGAGGCCACGGCCGGCTCTCCCTGCCTGTGAGGCTGGAAGGAGTTGAGGAGAGCGAAGCTCAGGTAGAAACCGGGGGGCAGGGCGTCCCACCCGCTGCTGGAGGCTGTTCTCACTCCGTGGCTGCATCCTCGAACGGGCACCCTCGCATCGCGTCCCTGCATCCCTTGTAGGCAAGAGGCAGGGTCCTGCCCGCTGGGGAGTTTGGGTCAAATGCTCTAAACAGTCACCACCACCATCACAGGCTAGAGCTCATTCGCTTAAGTTTGCTAAATTTTTTTTTTTTTTGAACCTGTCTGCTTTTCTCAAACCTCTTTAAAAACAACAGCAGGACACCTCGGGTTTCTTGAACGCCCAGCTCTGTTCCTTCCCCCTCAGCATGGGGGACATGCAGGCGAATTTGCCTCCCTCACCAAGTCTGGGCGAGTTTTCCAGAGACAGCACCACGCGGGATAAAGTGCGGTGCAGCCTAAGCTGGGCCCTCCCGTCCCTGCGGGATGCCCGGGTCCCTCCCCACAGACAACCCGGACAGGCTCAGCTGCTGCTGTCTTTCACCTGCACCCAAATCCACGTAGCAAGGGCTGCGTTAGCAGACGCTCAACAAGTAACCGCACGGCTTCAAGGAGTAAAGATGTAAAGCGTCCGTGGGAAAGTCCGACCGCGCAGCTTCTCCCGGCTCCGCACCTCAGTCCTGAGGGCCCGCGGATCGATGATGAGAAGGAGGCCAGAGCTCACGTCATCAGCGGACGTACCACCTGCTTTATTCCCGAAGCCTCTCTCACATCGCATTTTTTCTGGCCGTATTTATGGCTTGGTGGACAGGCTTATACAGTAAAGCGAAACGATGCCCCTTGGAAGAGGGGCGGACAGGGCTACCCCGGGGAGGTGTCCTCACCCTCCCGGCCGTCTGGTGGCTGAACAGCACCCCCCCCCCCCCCCCCCGCCAAGGAGTCCGTGAGATTCCTCCCCTTTGCGGAGGCTGGGCTGTCCGTCTGACTCACCAGACGTGTTTCATCACCAACTTGTGCTCCAGGTAACTCCCCACCCCCAGGCCTCCGCCCCCCGCCCTCCCGCCGCCCCGTCAGGGTTTCCTAGGAAACTGCCCGGAAGCCTGGCGGGGGCGCTTCAGGCGCCCGCCCGCACCGGCCGCTAGGCGGCAGTGTGGCGCCACGGGACTGGCCGCACCGCGCCGAGGCGGGCTCCCGGGAAGACTTGCTCGGGGGCGCCCGGGGAAGCCGGCCCGTCTACAAGTCGGGGTCTGGGCTCACGGGCGCCTGCCAGTTGTCACAGATCGCCTTGGGGGCGGGGGAGGGCGGGGCGGCTGAGGGCAGGAAGGGGCACCCTGCCTGCGTTCGTCCCCGCAGAGCCCTGGGGAAAAGGAGGGAAAGCGTCCACGCGGTCCAGGCCTGGTGGGTGGTTCACCGCGCGGCCGACAGATGCCCCTCACGTCCCTGATGCTGAGCGTGCGGGGCCGGCAGCAGACCTCCCAGCGTGATCACGCCAAGCCTCAGGGCCTGGGAATTCAGGCCCCCTTGACTGCGTGTGCCTCCTGTGTAAGCAAGCGCTTCCTTTCTCAAGCGGGGCGGGGGGTGGTGAGAGATCAAGGATTATGAGAAGAACTACAGCTACAGCCCTCCCCATACCCTCCCGCTCCTGCGCGCACCCCACCCTCCAGATGGGTGGCGGGCGTGTGGCGGGCAACACAAGGCCAGTGCCCAAGGCAGAGGGGTTTGCTGCACTGACACCCAAGTCCTGCAAACGAGCAGCGTCATGCCCCGCAGACCCACTGGCAGGAAGACCTCTGGGCCCAAACCCAAGCCAAGTCCGGAAAAGAGTGCAAGGTGGGGAGACAGCATCAGAGGATCCTAAATGAGGGTCGAGGGGTTCCCTGGCCGAGGCGCTAAAGCCGGAATGAGGATTTCCACCAAACGGCTGAAGGAGAACGAGGCAACGCGACATCCTTCCGGTTGTGGGGAAGCAGGCAGATTCTCAAGAAGCAAAGAGCAGGATCTGAACTCCCTGCGGGGCACCCACCCCGGGGCACCCACCCCCTCCGCCCCCCAGAGCTGCCGGAATTCCTGAGCTCACACTGAGCACGCCCAGGCCATAGACGGAATTTATTAGGATTTGCGGAAGCATGAGAGGATGTACCACAAAATAGCCTGACTTTACAACATGAAGTACGGCATCAATGCACAGTGTTGTCAGCAAAACTGGGATACAGAGCAGAGGTTCACATTTTTTAAAGGCGATGGACAACATCTACTCTTGTCCTTAAAATAAAAACGGGTGGGGGGGGACCAGCAGAGGCCAATCTGATTTGCAGTTAGCGTCAGAATCTAAATCTAGTATCACAATTATAAGAAACTATAAGAAAACTATTAGAAAAATAGAACATCAAACAAGCAAAAATATTATACAATTTACATAATAAAAAACACAATTCTCTTAATAATGGCTCCACGTTCAGTAGAAAAAAGGGTACTGAAGAAACCACAGCTCTTCAGGTTTGATTATAAACCAACCCTCAAGAAGACCATCACCCTTTGTGCTCCTTAGACCCATCAATGCTGAAAGGCACAACGTAAGCAGGAAACTTATCTTAAATATATAACTTCTCCAATGGGAAAATAAGTCCCAAACTTAAAAAGTTTGTCATCAAGAAACACAAAATCATACACCTTGTTAATAATTTAACAAAGTCTGAATGCATCTCCCCAGCCCTCCTCCCCGACTCTGGAGAAATCCCATTTGGACTTCAAGCCAAGGTCTTCCATCTCACGGGGGTTTTCAGCAGTTCAACACATTTACAAGGTGGGCCGGGGGGCTCCGGAGAACTGCGCCCCCAGACCCTTGGCCAGTCCACGCCCCTCTTGGAAGAGCACTGCCACCCAGCGAAGCAGCGGGCACAGAAAGACTGGGCCATAGTGATGAACGGGAAGGTCAGTTGCCTTTTTTTTTTTCTGACTTAACCTCCCATTAGGTATTGTAACTACGATGACGAGATACAGAATGTATGTAGCTTCTTGCACCCCTGGACCAATAAAGCATTTCATTACCCAAAAAAGTCCACAAGAGTCTGATAAAATGTACATCTTGCTCTCCCTAAGGAGCCTCACATACAATACTCTCATTACCAAGGCAAACAGATGCATTTTAAATTACACCTAACAATTATGCACAACATATATTCAGTTCCGTCTGAAGTTAACTCACGCAAGCGTCACACACCTGCGCCCAGAGTGCGGCCATACCGGCCATGCCTCTCCATCCATCCTACAACACTCGGGCCACCGGGCCCGGCACCAAGTCCCCTCCCGCCTGTCTCCAGGGGGCTGGTTCTCGGGTGCCAACAGAACAAGCGGCTCTGAATGTGTCAAGGCGGGGCGTCCACATCAGGAGAGACACGTCCCAGCGTGAAGCCAGGCAGCTTTCCTCCAGCAGCGAGGCCCCGTCAAACGCCCGTGGGCTCGCCGACAGTCTGGGCGGGGCCGCTAGGAGACGTGTCCACACACCCGATGCTGACAGCTCTGCCTACAACGTCAGGCTACACGCCATCCTAGGCGGGACGGCAAGACCTGTCAACTCACCCTGCCTGCCTGGAGGACGAGGTGGAGGAGAGGAGGACGAGATGGAGGAGAGGAGGCCAGGTACAGCCCCGTCCCCCCCCCACCCCGCCCCCCGCCTCCCGCCTCCCGCCGTCCGCCCCCCTGACGCCATGCACAAAGCACAGCAAACACGTCGTGAGGCTCCTGCTGGGCCCGCGCCCCTCTCAGGTGTGAACAGATGTGTCAGAGGTGGAGAAGGGAGTGCCGCGGGCCCGGGGGCTCTGGGTGGGCACAGAAGCCTCCGCAGTGCTGCTGCAGTCGCCAGTGGACACGGCAGGGCAAGGCCCGTGGTGTCCAAACTACACGGAACCAGGAAGCCGACCACCTGATGGACACGGACTCAACGGAACAAAACCCACCGTGGGGGAGACGCCAAGTGACCCTGACGACAGTGTAAACTCTGCAGCTTCTGCAAGCCGGCCTGGAAAGGTGCTCCGTCCCGCGGCCCTCTGGGTTTGTAAAAGCAAAGCCGGGCAGAGGAGATGCGAGCAGGTGAGCCGGGGGCCGTGCGGAAGCTCGAGCTCCTGCCCGAGGCCCCCATCCCACCCCCCCCGCCGGGCGGGGGGTGGCTCGGGGCCCACTGCCTCTCCGGAGACCCCGCACCCCTCACTCTTTGGCACAGGTCCTGGGGACCCTGTGTGGGTTTTCACAAGGCCGTGGACACGCAGGGAGGGGGCCGCGGGCGGCAGGAAGGGGCGCTTCCCCATCACAAGCGGGTCTTTCCAATGTGACCGTTTGGGGCTGGTGCACAGATAAAAGGAGACGCGGTATCCCCGAAGGGCGCGTCACTGGAAATGTGGAACTTCTGACTCTGCAGGAAAACGTAGCCAAGCCGTGGAACCGAGTGCGGGAGGGGCTGGGATGTGAAACCGTCGGGAACTTCCGGCAGTTACTTTTGGCCGTGTGTCTGTGTCCGTGTGTCTGTCTGGCAGGTCTCTGTGTGTACGTGTTTGTGCGCGTGTCCAGCTCAGGGCCAGGAAGGAGGGGTGTAATCAGAAGGCCCACTGACTTCGGAGGCGCCGCCCCACGCACAGAAGAGAAAACCCTCGGCAACGGCATGAAGACCCGCTCTCAACAGGCCCCGTCCCGGGACCCCAGGTGCTCTTTCCGGGGGGGAGCGCGGGGGCCTTCTCAAGGCAGCCACTGCCCTTCTGCGCGGCGCCTCGCGGCTCTGGGTGAGGAAGGGGACCACGTGTCGGGACGCGCTCGCCCCGTGAGATGCTGAGACACACCTTCCTGGCTGGAGAGCCACGAGCGCTGCTGGCGGAAACATCAGTCGTGCAGTCTGCTGGGGGGCGTCGCACGGGGAAACGTCAGCCAGAACGAAAAAGGGAAAGAACACCTCAACCTGCCACCTTTCTGGGACACCCTCTCTCCCTCGCGCTCTCTGCCTCTGTGGAAAAACAGCAGACACATCACGCAAACCAACAGCCAAGAGGACCCAGAGGACGGCAGACACCAAACCCCACAAAATACGTTACTATTTATCACAATGTTGTACCAAGCAAAGCACCAAGCTACATAAATTAAATACCTTTCTTTGGAAATCCAAGCTTTGGGCTCTTACAGTCCTCCCGCTGGAAGATTCACAAGTGACACTGAGAATAAAGCTTCCACGAGCGACCAGAGTGGCCACCAGAGCCTACAACGAAGGCCAACCCTGCCAACTGGCTGCTTCACTCATTCTTGCATTTTCCTCCAAGAACTTTCTGGGGCAGAGGGAGAAAAGCCGAGTGCCATCAGTTCATCAGGCTTCTTTCTACCAGGTTTGTGACAAAGGCCAGAGGGAGAGGATATGGGGAGCGAAGCTTCCAAAGCAGCGTTTACACTTCCCGTGGAGTCCAACATGCCTGCCCCTCACCTGCCAACACGGGCCCTTCCGTCTACTGAACTACACTCTCTCGGGAAGGCAGACTTGGCCCGGCTACCAGAAGAGTCCCCAGGGCCTCGGGAGGGAGCGCCGTGTGCACAGGGACACACAGACACCGAGGCAGGGGTGCGGGGCAGGGTCACCGACCCGCACACAAACCCGCAGCGTCTGGACGACACACACCCACACGAGAGGCACAGTAACGTGACCCCAAACCGTGTCACGTGCAGACCCCGCACCCTGGACAGTTCGGGGTGATCGCTCGGCCGTGTGCCGCGCCACTGTTAAGCGCCTGCTGAGTTCAGTGGAGTGACCGATTCACAGCGGCAGACAGGAGGACTCCACGTGAGGATAAGACACGAGAGGGGCCAGAAGCAGCTGCAGGGCCACGCCGTCACTCAGGATGAGCGGACGCCGGCCTCGGAGACCTTGAGACCCAAGAGACCGACCTCCGAGCGGCAGAGGAGGACTCAGGGCGGAGCCAGGACCACAGAAAGCGCTGTTCTCCGCTCGGCTCACTCGAGGCAGGTCCTACAGAAATAGTGTCACATTCCAGTTACTCAGGACTCGGCCGGCGCTGAGAGGCGCCAGAGCCGCAGGAACCGGCCCGGGGCGTGGGCTGGTGGCCGCAGGAGGTCCGGGTGGAGTGGCCACTGCCCTGGCCCCGCGCAGAGCCCGGTCCCGTGGCCCGAGTGTGCAGTGTGCGAGGGGGGCCGGAGCCCCCGCCTGGAAGGAGGGGGGTGGTCGCAGTCCTCACGGGCCCTCCGGAGACAGCTCAGCAGAAGCAGAAGGAGACTGTCTAGTTTTCCTTCCTAAGTACACGCTGTCCTCAGGCTGGGGGCGGCACAGCTGGGCACAGACCGTGTCGCGGTGCTCAGCTGGCATCTGGGGCGGCTGTTCGGGGCTGGGCGGGGAGGCGGGGACTGGAGTGTCCAGCACAGTCCCTGGAAGGGAGGCCGGACCGCTCAGGTGATGAGAGGAGGTGACCTCCATTCTGCCCAAGGCCGCAGCAGCAGGGGCGCCCGGCCGGCGAGGAGAAGGGCTGCTGTCTTGCTCAGAGAGAGGCTCAGAGGCAGGTGGGCAGCCTCGGCCCCGTGGCCCCAGCTGGGAGCTGCCAGGTGATGGGCCCAGCGAGCCGGCCTGAGCAGGACACGCAGGCCGCGGGCCGCCCCATCGCGGCACTGTGCTCTCTGGGTGCGGGCGGGTCCCGTGCATGCGCAGGGGGAGCGAGGTGCTGCCGGGGCCTTGGGGGCAGGGCTGTGCGTCACTTGCAATGGTCCAAGTGACCGTCAGGAGTCCTTGCTGGGTCGGCGGCCAGGGACGCCTCCTCGCTGTGCCAGAGACCATAGCCAAAGTAGATGAAGAAGCCTGCGGGCCGAGGGCAGAGACCGGGTGTGAGTGGGCACCGTCGGGTCCCGGGAAGCAGTCCCCGCAGCAGCCTCTGCAGGCGGCCCCGCTGGGAGGCCTCGGCAGGTGGCGGCCCCAGGCAGGGCCCCCGTGGAGGAGGGCGCGACTCATCGTGCAGGGTCGCCTCTACGCTCAGCAAAGGCGCATCCTTCTGGGCAGCCTCAGGTCGGGGGAGCGGCTGGGCTCGGGGCCCCGGGGGCAGGGTGGGCGCTGGTTCCACAGCCTCATCTGCTGCCCACCTGGCGGGGTACCCCGCGGCCGCTGGTGGGGGGCCAGGACAGACCCTGCAGGAGTCACACTGTCCCCGCCACGGCGGACTTCCCAGGGCACTAGGGCTCCCCAGGCTCTTCGCGCCGTCTGTACAGCCCTCGTTCTCCCTACCTGAGTGACTGAGACATTCAGGTAGCCTGGGACTGCGTGCAACCCGTGAATTTAGTCATTCCAGTGAGTGTCAGGGGCCACAGAGGTCCGTGCTCCTAACTGTCCCCCCACCCTGGGGCCGCCAGTGACACAGGAGAGCAGGCCTTGAAGGAAGGACCCAGCCACCAAAAGCCCTGGGACCCAGGAGCGTGTCGGGGATGCTCGGAAGCGGGCGTCATCCGCCTCTGCCGCCTCCACTCCCTCAGTCACTGGGGCTGGGAGGTTTGGCCGCAACACGGCCTGGAGGTCACTGCTCTCGTCAGTGGCCCCGACCGGTCAAGGCCAGTCTCCCGGGCCTCGGCCCCCGGCCTCCGACACTACACAAGGAACCCGGGTCCATCTCTGCGGCGCCTGCTGTCAGAGGCCCAGAGAGGGGCCACGGTTGGTGCTAAATGGGGCCAGCACCCAAAGGGTGACCCCCCTGCTTCCCACAGGCCCAGCCAGTCCCCACGGCCCAGTGTTTGGGATGGACAGCAGACTCACGGGCTCGTTCTGAGAATGTTAAGCTCTGGCCCGAGATAACTAGTTCAGACAAAGGCTTTAAAGTTATCTAAAAGGGAAGGGAGGACCCACAGCCTACCAGGAGCTCCTCACTGTCAGAGAGGAAACCGCTGACTACGCGTGTTTTCGCTGTGTTTTGAAATCTGAAACGGGGGCGGCTGGAGGGCACAAGCCATCCAGCCAGTAGCAGGGAGGACAAATGAGCAGCTCAGCATAGGCTGGCGGGGCTGGGGGCCTCCAAGAGTCGCTGGGACATCACGTGCTGGTCACCTCGAAACCCACAAGTCACGTACCTATCAGCATCCACACTGCAAACCGGACCCACGTGCCTCGGTCCAGCTGCATCATGAGATAGACGTTCACGAAGATGCTCAGGACCGGCAGCACCGGCAAGAAGGGCACCTGCGGAGACAGGAGGCGGGGCGTCAGGTGTGACGCGATGGAGAGGGCGGGACAGACGGCTCTGCTCCACTCATTTAGCGAAACTACCCAAGAAAGGCGCGCACCCGAGGCTGATACGGACGGCCAGGTCTACGTGGCGAGGGGCTGAGTGCCAGTCCCCAGTCCCGTACCCACACCCCGTACCCCCAGCACCCCCCAAGTACACCCCCGCAGGCAAATCCTAGTAGGTGGGAGTTTGTCCTACGCTACTAATCGCCAAAGTGAGCTGTCGTCTAACTTCCCCGCTTACTCCTCCCCTGAAGGGGCCGGAAGAGGGGCTTCTGCTTTATTTCTAAGGCTGAACTACCTTATTATGCGTAGAATCTAAAAATGCAGAAGCCCTGGTCATCCCCAAGGCTTGGTGATGACCTGCGATCCACCAGGGCCAACGTTTATTTATGAGAAGCCCAGAGAACGCAGGGCGCTACCCCACCTGAGAGCCAGGGCCCAGCCTCTCTCAGCAGGCGCCATCTGTGCCCGGGAGCCCCAGGCTCACATCCCTCGAGGCCGGCCAGCGAGCACCTCCCTCCGCCCACCCAGGCCTCGCAGAGCCCAGGCAGGCAGGGCGGCCTCCCGGCAGGAGCGCCAGGCTCACAGCCTCCCGGGGGGTTCCCTCCAGCCCGGTCAGGCCGAGCTGCTCACCTTGAACGAGAGCTTGGTCTTGCTCTCGGGCTGCCGCCAGATGATGGCTGTGACCACGCAGCAGAGGAAGGCGGAGCCCACGAGCACGAAGACTGCCCACAGCTCCCCATTTACCAGGGCCCCGTTGCCAAGCACAGCCACCATGCAGAAGGTGATGACCAGCAGGGCTAAGAGGGAGAGAGAGACGCACTTCAGTCATTTCCCAAGTTCCCACACACAGACATCCTCAGCTCTCCCCAGAACCCGTGGAGAGCGAGGCTCCACTTCTGCAGGCACCCACCCCAGTTAGGACAGAATGACGTCACGGTCCAGGGCAAGTGCGGCTCTTCCCCACCCGCGAGGATAAGCAAGACCCCAAACACCGCACAGGGGAGGGCAGGCTCTTACCTATGAGGCTGGTTGAGACGTTCACAATTAGCCCAGAGAATTTGGAAGGCTCTGTATTTTGCGGTGAGAGTACGGTTTTCAGAGAAAATTTTTCTGCTTCTGGTAAAAAGCCCATCTGGGAATCGCTGGTGCTCACCAACTCGTTCTGGTAGACTGGGTCGAGCTCGTCACTAGTCCTGGCCATCTGGTATACCATGTTAGGCTGCTCCGGCTGGTACCTGTGAAGCAGCAGTTTGCTTGACCGTCGTAATGTGCTTTAATTAACAAGCAAAAGGACACACACTAACTCAAGTTCTTAGTAAGCCTTCAGAGGTAAGCTGCCCAGGACACAGGGCATAAAACGGGAAGAGGGTGATCAGAATGGTACATTTTCCCGCAAACAGAAAGAGAGGAGGAGACCCAGGCCTCACCTTCTGCTCCTACCTCTCTGGGCAACACCCTCCTTGGTGTCTCTGTTATGAGGCAACTTGACCTCCACCATGACCCAGCCCAGAGGAAGGTCCCAAGAGTGTCTCTTGCTCTGAGAAGTAGCACTGGCCCCTGGACGCTTAAGATATTAGGCCACTTCCAACCAAACTATGGCTGTAAGGGGGCTAACAGCACAGACAGAAATAGAAAGCAATTACGTTAGGACCCTGTCTGGTGCAGAGAGCCAGAGAACTATGTCTGCAGCCTGATGAATTCGAGAAACTCTGTTTGTAAGACTTAACTGGATCACTTTATTTTAAAACTCCCAGTGCCTTGGAATAAATAACTCTCTCGAGCTGGGTGAAGGACCATGACTTTCAAGACACGAGCCACCTGCAAGTGAGACACTCATTTTAAATGAGGCTCCGGATCTTCCCAGCCAAGATGACCAAAGGTCGGATCCTTCCCACCCGCTTTGCAAAACGGAGCGCTTTACGAATTACTCTGCATATAATCTGAGAGCGAATATAAAGATATTTAACCGCTTTTTTCACTGCCTCACTCATATAATACCATTCGGTCTGTTAAGACAGTGGGGTGGACCTCAGAGAGATTTTAGCACTGAGCTCTTGGGAAGGAAGAAGGGGTGGGAAACTAGCAAGCTAGCTCTAGCTGACTCTCCAGAGCCAGGTAATTAGCTGTAGAGCACGTTAGGGATGGAATCAGTGTCCTGGCAAGTGTAAAGCCCTGAGAAAGTGGGGGGCTCTCCCCAGGTGACCACACTGAGCACCTGCACAGGTATCTGTTCCCATCATGTACCCTTACCTGGGGTCGTTCCTGGGAGTGAGAAAGCAGAGCCCTGTCTCCCAGAGCAAAGGGAAACTGGAGCAGGGGTGTGCTTGAAAGGAGGGGCACCGAGGCAGCGGAGGACCCCAGGACACCAAGCCTCGGCCCAGAACTGCTTTATTAGGGCCCTCCACAGGACTGGCCCGGTCCAGACAGGACTCCGAGCCAGAACCGGGAGAGTCTTCCTGAACACTGTCGGCTACTCCGGGACCTGTAACGGCACTCACTCCTCTGGGGCCGGTGCACTGCTGCCACGGGAGCACCACACTGACCCACGTTTCACAGGTCTTGGATTCTCCCAATTCCCACCAGGGCCTGACCCCAGTCCTCTCTGTCCCAGAACCTGGACCAAATTGAAATCGTTACCCTAAGCCTTCAAAAATTCTGATCCAAGGATCCAGGCCCAACAGTCGGGTTGATAACCTGTCTCTACCCTCCCAACATCTAGCCAGGAAAATCAGGGCCCATGAGAGAGACAGGTGGGGCCACCCCGGACTCTTCAGGGATATTCTCTGTAACCAGGCTTTCAACCACCAGATGCCACCCTCTCCCAGGCGGGTCCCAAAGGAGCTGTCCGCAGCCTAAAGTTTACACTGTATAGACCATTGACACAAACTACTAAAAAGAAGGCTGGCAGTGTGCCTGTCCTGGAACCCAGAAAGCCGTACCTACCGTAAGACTAGCACACAGGCAGCCACCAGAGAGTAGGCCAAGAGGGTGCCAATGGACATGAGGTCCACCAGGTCCTTCAGGTCGAAGAGGAAGGCCATCACCCCTGGGGAGGAGACGAACGTCAGGACCGAGCACGACCCTCCACAGCCGGCCAGAACCACAACCCCACCTGCGACCCAGGCTGTGTGAGGCGTGCCGCTTCTACTTTCCCCCTGGCTCTCCCCGGCCCTTTCCATGGAAAAACACTGTGACTTTGCTTAAAGGAGAGAAAAGCTCAGGATTAACCATATACGCAGCTCTCAACAGACAGTAATAGTAATTAACATTTATGTGGAGAGTACTTTTATCAACATGATCCTTTCTGACCCTCATGGCAATTTTGCCAGCCATCCCTACACTAAAAATGGAGAAAGTGAAGTTCAGACATGTTGACAGACTTACCTAAGGTCACACAGCTATTAAGTGGAAGAGTCAGGCTCTAAGCTAGCTTCTTATGGCTCTGAGTCCAATGTGTCTTCCCCTATACCATGCAGACGTATAGACAGACATGCATATCTATCCATCACCCCATCCACCATCCATCCATCCATCACCTACCCATCATCTACCCACCCATCATCCATCCATCAACTACCCACCCATCATCCACCCCTCCATCATCCAGCCATACACCATCCACCCATGATCCATCCACCCATCCACCCATCATCCACCCACCCATCCATCCACCCATCCACCACCCATCCACCACCCATCCATCCGTCATCCACCCATCATCCATCCCTCCATCCTTCCATCCGTCATCCACCCATCCATCCCTCATCCCTCATCCAACGGCACTCGTGAGCACACCAGTCCCTGGGTGCTAGGTATGTGCCACTGAACAAGGCAGACCAGACAGCCGCTGGCCTCCCCAAGCATTCACCGGAGACTCGCATCAGCAGGCAACAGTGGTGAGGAGGCGGCTGGGGGCAAGTCCACTGCCCTCAACAGAGGATTCTAACCCAGAAGATGGGCGTGGAAAGCAGTGTTATTCCCAGACAATACAGTCCCTTCACCATGACCCCACTTCCAGCAAAACAAAACATGCATGCTTCTTTGAAAATCTTCTGTAGATCTTTATGAGAATATGCATGGCTATTTATGTGGGTATATGTGTCGAGTTTCCCATTTAAAAAACAACTTGGCTGGATCTACTTTGGGATATTTTCAAATCACATGCAATCAACACAAGTTGAAACATAAACACTAAGCCGTAACTTTTCCACAAATATTTCTCAAGCCCACACAGACCACTGCAAGTAAAACAAATTCAAATTGAGGCTAAAAAACAGAATTAAAGAGCAGTGAGGCCCTTCTGGATAATTAGAAGAGGAGCCCCCTGTGTGAGCTACAAATGCCTACGCTCCCACTCAGAGGAACTCGAGCCAAACTTTTTCCATGTGAGGTGATTTTAGAAAACTAAATACTTATTTACCACCCCCGCCAAACGAAAAGAAAAAGCAAACCCTTGGTTTGGCGATGTGAGTCACTTTAAACATTATAGTTTGATGTCCCTTAATCAGCACAGGAAGGAAATTAAGGCCAGTCTTCAATACAATCAAATTACAAGTAAATACTGAAAAAACACTATTTCCAATTCCTTAATCCCTTAAACATACTGGTCACATTTTGACACATGGTGCCCCTTAATCTGCCCACGGCAATCACCCTCAAGAATGCAGACTCACATAACGAACGTGTAAAATAAGAAAAACTGGCTTTCCTTCATTATGTAATGTTAATCCAAAAAACTATACGCACACGTTGCTAAGGGCGTAAACGCTGCTGACAACAATTCACTCTGTAAGATGGCCATGCGCCTCACTCAAGGCTATTTGACAAGTTCCTGTGATGCAACTGTCACTGGTATCCTGTGTCATCATTTACCAAGAAGACCCACTGCTCTACTCATGGGCTGGAAGGAACCAGCCATTTTGACCCCAAAACAAACCAGGAACCAAGAGGCAAGCTCTGCACTCACCGGGCAAGAGCATCCTCACTTTACCTCTCTGAGCCCCCGCTTCTCATCTGTGTGCACCTGCCTCCTGGGCTATGAAACGCAATTCAATGAGGAAACATAAAAAAAAAAGCACAGTCTCCTTGCGGGGCTGCCATGGCTTTCATGGCACACACAGAGCTCCAAGGGTTCTCTAGCCCCCGGCTCTCCTCTCTCGGAACTGTCCTCTTGGCGAGGGACCCGATATGCGGTCAGATCAGCCTCCTCTGGACCTGCCATTGTTTACAAACTCAGGGCGAATGGCTTCACCAGCCACACCCTCAATGTCCCCTGGGGAATAGGTGACACGCTTTATAAAGCATCGATCATAAGGGATTCTCACTTCCCAGAGAATTCACAAGCTAAGACGCACGGATGGTGAATTTCCAGTACCAACAAAAAGTCACCCGGTTTGTACCGTGTAAAATGTCATCCCACCAAGGTCTGCTCAGGGACATTCAGAAAAGGGGAAAGACGCCGGGCTTTGAAGGGACAGCGTGTATTCTAAGCTCTGTCCAATGAAACGATAACAATTTAAAAATTCAAATTGTTTGAGAATTCCATCACATGCTCTGTAAAACTGGCTTCTGCCTTTTGTCAAAAAGGCACTTAGTTACCTTGAAATAAACCAGGTACAAGAGTAAAAACCCAAAGTTAAAGAAGACCAGTTATAGCGTCTCTCAGACCAGCACAAGTCAAGATATTTCCCTAGGGAATAATGACTCCACTGTTAAAATACTGGCACGTGAAATTCCAGTTCTTACCGGCAATGGCACCTGAGGTTAACGTGGCGATTATTGGTGTTTTGGTCCTATCGTTGATCTGGGCCAAAAATTTAAACAGCAGCCCATCTTCAGCCATGGCATAGATAACTCGAGGCATGGGAAACATGGACCCTAAAAGGCTAGATGGGAAGAAAAGCAAAATGCATCCGTAAGATATCTCATGGGAATAAAGGCACCGTAACGCGCCATGCGTGTTTACCACCGAGGAGAGGCAGCTGTCTCCAACCTGTGAAGCCCGCACCTGAAAGACGGACTCAACACACCAACCCCCGGAAAAGCACTCACTGCAAAGGCTAACAGGAACGGGAGATGTGTGACGTAAACTAGCGTGGCAGCTAGACACAGTTTTATGGAAGAGAAATTTTGTATTTATTCCCGTGATTATTTCTAGCTGAATCAAGCAGAAAATAAAAGCATCGCTGCGTTCATGAGGATTTCTCTGTGGTCAATCCGTTTTTAGCAAATACTTCCTGTGTGTCCAGGCCAGCAGAAAACATCAAAGTGTTTCTCATTAAAAGGCACGTGCTCCCCTTTTCAAGGTAGCCTCTGCTTTATGGCCAAACTAAGGGCCAAAAGACAGCGTTCACAGAGGCGGCCCGGTCCAGTGGCCACAGATGGGGACAGAGAACCAGGACCTTGCTGAGTAGACAGTGCTAGAATGTGGGCTTCAGGTTCTTCGAGATGAAATGTCAGTAACACAAACAGCCCTTGGGGTGACCGACAGCAGCACGAGGGGAGAAGCCACACGATCAGGGCTGGGGTTTGGCTCTATTTCAAGGGACAAGAGGAATATTCACAGCAGACCCGCCTTCCCGGGAGTTTCCGCTTCCTCACCTGGTGGAAAGGGCACAGAGGGAGCCGATGGCCACTGCGTACTTGGCGCCCTCCCAGCCCACGTGCTTGAAGGCGTCTGGCAGGGGGCTGTCCTTGTCCAGGCAGAAGTAGGGCATCATGAGCGTGAGGGCGGCCGACACCCCAAAGTAGGCGACGAAGCAGATGAGAAGGGACGCGACGATGCCCACGGGGATGGCCTTCTGGGGGTTCTTGACCTCCTCCCCTGCAGGGAGCAAGGGGTCAGCGGGGGGCTCGGGACCACCCCATGGCACGCGGCCCTGTGGGGACCAGGGCCTTCCCCAGCACCACAGACCACGACACCCACAAGCCCAGGGACAGTGTTCTGGGCCTTTACACTGATGGTCGGCAAGGAAGGCTCGCCGCCTTTAGCAGAGAACACGCGGGAGGCCCGGGAGCCCGGCCTGTTCAGTCACCAGGACGACCGTGTTTTTAGCGGCCCTATGTCTCCCGGAGGGTGCACAGGTCTGCAACCAGCCGCAGCTAATGCCATCCTCCCGGCCCGCAGGGGACCGGTGGTCTCGTTCAGGGTGCCGCTTCCCGTCAGGCCTGCCACTCGGGGAGTGATGAAGCGGAAGATTAGCAGGAAGGTGCGCACGCACACGGTACTCAGGAGGGAGAGAGCGGCAACGGGCACGCACGCGCCCGGGAAGGGAAGCAGCGACCTGGCCAGGTGGGCCCGGGTGGGCCGAGGGTGGCGGGCATACCTGTGGTGGCGATGCAGTCGAAGCCCACGAACGCGTAGAAGCAGGTGGCTGCCCCCGACAGGACACCGGAGAACCCGAAGGGCATGAACCCCCCGACACCAGGTTTCCCCTCCTCCGTGTCACTGGAAGAGAGAGCCACAGTCAAGAGGCCAGCGCCCGCTCCGTGGTCCCCAACAGGAGCCGTCCCAGCTGCCCCCCTGCGGCCGGGCCCCCGCTACGGTGAACGGTCCTGGGACAGCGGTCACAGCCGCCACACTCCTGGGCAACGGGCCTCCCTGCTTTTCACGGCCAGGGCTGCAAGGGGCCACCAAGCCCTTTCCAGACGCCCCGGCTAAACACTGATTTGTGTGGGGCAGGGACCGCAAGGCAGGGTGCCCGTCAGGAAGGGGAGGAACCGGCGACCGCAGCCTCTCCCCCGGGACCCCCAGAGCACGGCTCAGCTGCCCGCAGGCGCGGCGGTCCCCGCCCGCCCAGGACCAAAATGCAAAGTCCTGCACGTTTACCAGCAGCTCGTGTCTGAAAACAAGCATTTCCAGAGATGCCGCGGTTAGAAAGGGTGAACTGTCTCAGTGGAGCAAAACCGCCCCTGCCTCCCGTGCGCCAGGTGAACGGCGCGGGTGCCCGTGCGGGTGGGGCGGGTCTTCCGGATCTGAGTGCACTGTCCTCACGCTCTGTCCCCTCGTGCGAGAGCTGGGCCATGCCTGTGCCCACGGCCCAGATGCAACCAGGCGCACGAAGACGGCGTCCTCAAGGCTGACGGGACAGCCGGGCGGATGATCTGGTCCCTGAAAGCCAGTGTGTGGTCTCGCTGGCCAGCCCCCCGCCCCCCGACTGTTCATTCCAGGACCTCAGACATCATTTTAAAGCCACTGCACTGTTAGGAAGGTCTCTTCATCACAGCAGTTTAACCTTCAGCCACAATTAAAACAAAATGAAAACTCCCCACTCTCCATCCTAGGACCCTAAAATTTACCCAAAAATCTGACAAGAGATCAGAAAGGCCCGTTTCCACGTTTGGATAAGATGAGCCTGTCGGTAAGGGTGCACCCAGAGGCCTGGGGAGCTGGCCAGGCACCTGCCTCCAGCCCTGGGTGTCCTGAGCCCCAGATACGGAAGGGAGGTGGGGCCCCGGTCTCTCAGGGCTGACGCAACACAAGCTGAGTGAGAGTGAAAGAGATTATCATAATCACATTCTGATACTTCAGTAGTTCTGAAAACCTCTGAAAAGAGCCTGTGAGAAAAGTTCCACGTATTACTTCTTTGTTCTAGGGCGTCCAATAGGAAGGCATTTCCAGATAAAGTGGCTCCCGCCACGGTGCTACGAGAAAATCTTTCCTGAAAGCAAAATTCAGAGCTTGATCGTGAGGGAAATATGAGGGGAAAGGGACTCCTGAGTGAGTCTGACCATGAGCCCCAACCACGCACAGTCCTGGAATTAGAACGAGGATGCTGTTTCCCCGACACCTTCCTTAGTCAAGTACAAGGAAAGAAAACCTAACCCGAACTTCAAACAAATCAAACACCCTCAGCTACTTGACTGCCAAAAAAACAGTTAAATAATAACAAAACATTCTAGTTCAAATTACACTAAAAAAAAAAAAAGACCCGTATTGTCATAGCCGACGGCATCACCAACCTCATGACTGTCACGCACCCAGAGACAGAGCAACACTCACTTGTTCAGGCAGAGGCGGCCAGATGTGTTCTGGAAATCCTCCTCCGTGAGCTGCCAGTTTTTAATGGATCCTTTCACGAATCCCGACACCATGATGAAGCCCAGGACCAGGACGTTGACACACGTGAAGACCTTGTTGACCATGGCCGACTCCTTCACGCCCAGGGTCAGCAGTCCTGTAAAGCGCGTCAACAGAAACTCTCTCAGTGTGAACCTCGCGCCAGGCACGTCCTTCTGGGATGGGGACGGGGACGAGAGGGTGACTTAGGAAGAATCCAAGCAGCGTCAGACCTCCGAGGAGGAAATGGGGCTGAATTCATTCTCATTCTAGAGGCAGGGATCAAAATAACCAAGGTCGGAGGGGGTGCTGAACAAAGCCATCAAGGCTGGCCTTCCAGATCCCCCTCTGGACTCGAGACGCCGGGCCAGGGGCACCAGCAGAGGCGGCGACGTGTCGGCCAACGGCCCCCGAGAGCAAGGCCCCCCCTCTTCCCGAACCTCCATCCCCCAGAGCCACCCTCGGGGGCAGGATTTCATTTCCTCCAAGAGACACTTTGCTCGGATTCTCGGGAGGGTGAGAGTTTCCCAGAAGAGGAGTCATGCGCTCACTGCTAGGGGGCGCCAGCAGTGACAGCCACCTGGGCTGTGGGACCCCTGCCGCGTACGGGTCCTCCTGGGACTCAGCGCACGGAGAACAACGTATAAGCTAGACTAGTGCCAGCTTGTAAACTCCGGATAAAGAAGACACCAAATGATAAAAGCCCACGGGAGCCACATGACACCACTGCCGCAGGGCACGCTTCTGTAGTGAACGCTCGGCTGGGCAAGAAGAGAGGCAGGGAAGGTGCCTGGTGACACGTGACCACTGACCTGATTGGAAACTACTGCCCTGCCGTGTAGGTCTCTCATACGTTTTAAAACAAAAGACGCTCTACGTAATAGACTGAATTCTGAAAAACAGGCATTAGGACAGAATTGAGCAATTCGTCACAGGGAACACTTCTCCGCCGTGTTTGTTCTTCAGCGTCCCTCCCTCTCGTGTTTATGAAAATCTCACTCGTGCAGACTTAATTTCTGATACATGTTCCTGCCAGCTGGACCAGAAATACTGCTGAGACTGGCCTGTGCGGAATGATTTCAATTATGTGGTGTGTAAAATACGGCACGTTGTTTTTAAAACCCATCCAAGATTTTCTAACCTCAAAGGAGAATTTATCTGCGTTTCAGCTTAATGTTTATGTAAACAAAACTCCCATCCTAGTGGCTGACTCGGATAAGTGTCACTAAGAAGCTGCCGTCAGCTGTGTTCAAGCCATGTCTGCGATTTTAAAATTCCGTACCGGCAACTTCGTGGTGAAGCTTATTTATTTAAAGGGTGTTTTGCCGGCCGTTGGGTGTAAACCACCCGAGCCTTCGCCAACACTGAGGCCCTCATTCCTCCACATCGCCCTGGCTGACCAACGCCAACTTTCCTTTTCCAAGTAGTCATCCGCTGACTGCAAAGAATTTGTATTTCTGTATCAAAAAGCCTGCAGCATTAACAAAATCTTATTCCACAGTTACGCAAACACCTGAGATTCTCTTTTAATTAAATGACACGTAACTCGACCGATTCAAGAGGTCAATCCTACGTGAATCTCTAAGAAGCCGTTTTGACAAAAAAGATGTCTGTATCAATTACAAAAAGGAGAAGAAAATGGGGGGATGGGAGAAAGAGAAAAGGAAGAAAGCAACTTAATGGGAGCCTGTCCTACACCTTGGACCCCTCGCTCCAACCCAGTGCCTTCCGGTGTGTGGCTTTACCTGTTAAGATGAGAATTATGATCACGGCAAATATGTCCGGGTTTTTGGCCAGCACCCCGGGCACGTTCAGGGCCATGTGCGTCCGCGAGAACTCCCCGATGGGTTTGCCAATCAGCTCGTCAAACGTTGCGCTCCAGGCTCTGGCTACGCTCGAAGTGCCTGCCACGAAACACACCGTCAGACGAAACTGAAGGGAAACAGTGAACGGAGCACCTGTCACCCAGCTCGGCACCGGCGGCACTCACGTAGGGATCGCAGCCGGCGCACGGGGGTCCAGCGGCAGCCGCCGGACCCCGGGATGTGCTGACTCGGAAGTGAGGGTCAGTTAGTGTTTGCAGAGACGTGAGAAGTGGAGCCTGGTAAGAAACCCGTTTTCCATCACAATCAATACGACGTGTATAGCATGCGTTTTGAACGTACATGTAACTCAATTACAATAAAAGTCTAACAAACTAATGTTACCCTGAGCACAGAGAGGCACTCTGACAGTACTGACTTCTACTTATTTGATCTCATCCGACAAGAACTCCTGAGGGCGAACCGTTCAGGTGACTTCACGACCCACTCCTGGGCTGCAGTGAGCAGGGGCCACGCTCCTCAGGAAGCGCCTCCCCTAAGACCCCAGCAGCAGAGCCGACAGGCCTGCCTCCCGCTGCGGGGGACTAAGGGCGGCGGCTCGGGGCTGGCTCCACGTCAGCAGCAGAGTCCCCGCTCACCCCTGCCTCTGCTGCTCCGGGCCCGGGCGGGCACCACGGACGCGGGCTGTGGGCCCGAGGGTCTGCCCGACGTGCTGGGTGCGGCGTCCAGCACCCCAAAGGCCAGGAGCAGCTGACTGCTCTCTCTCTCTGTCTCTTAATCTGAATAACGGCACTGCTCTTCCAGCAATGCTTCCCGGGAAATGTCACTAAAGTTCCAATATCCACAAAAAGTTTCTTTATCTTCAAAGGGGGCCCCGCTGGTGACCGTGGTCTGGATCTTCCACAGAACTTGGCCAGAGTGACCTGCAGGACTCCATTTCACCATCCGGTCTCATGCTAAGTGTTCTTCCAACAACTCAAAAAGGAAACCACATTTCTTCATCCCGAGTAGCCAGCCTATGATGAGTTCTGTCCTTCGAGGCCACAACCCAGTGAAGAAACAGGTCACTACCTCTCCTGCCCCAGAGGCCAGCTCGCTGCCAACAGGGCTGCCCAGCTTTTCCTGCCAGCCTACCCCTCCCCACCCTTGAATCGTGGCTTTTAAAAGAAACACATTTGATAGAAAAGCTGCCCTTGCTCAGGAGTTGAGGCCGAGAGCCGCCTGCAGTAGCACGGGGGTGCGTCTCACACAACACCACCACTCCGGCCAAGACCCCGTCGCCACCTGCTGGTCCAGAAGCTGCAGGCGCTTCACGTTCACCATTCTGTTTTATTCGCAGGTAAATCCTCTGGAACCATAACGGCCCCTTTAAAATAGCTGCATTCCCACCGAGAGGCTGCAGCTTGTAAGGACGTGTATGGTTGCAAGTTTTGGTGCTGCACTGAGAAAAACGTGATTAGGAATTTTATTTTCCATTTAAAATGAGAGTAAGCTCTCGGCAGGTGCTGGAAAGAAAGGGAGGGTGTCGCCCAGGGAGCCTGGTGGAACCCAGCACCACACACGGCTTCCCAGAGGGCGGGCATGGGAGCCAGCGGGGCCCACGGGGTTCAACTCATCCCACGCCCCAGTTTTCTGATATTACTTCAAAGAGCTAAAGCAGAACTGGAACAGTTAGTGGCCATTTGTATTATTTGTTTGCGAACCGGCCACTCGTATCCTTCAGTTATTCTGACATTCAGGTGTTTGTTTCTTTTAAGTGGATGTATTCAGCTTCGGCTGTAATCAAACTACAAATAACATAAAGAGAATAACACTGAAACCTATCGAACAGAAAAGACTCTGTTTTTGGTGTTTTCGTTTGTTGGTTGGTTGTTTCTAACGCTGACGCCAAGTCCAGAGTCAGCAAGGACGTGAGGAAAAGGGGCCCTTGGCCGTCAGGAGGATCGCAGGCAACACGGGCCTTGAAGATACGCAGGCCTGCTGACCCAGACATTCTGCTTCTTAGACCATTTTAAAGGAAAAAGCACAGCTTTTTCTTTTTCATGCCGAAGTCATTAAGTAATTTACTATTTATAACAACATCACAGCTGGAAACAATCTAAATACCCCACAAAGGCACCCAATCAATTATCTGTATATAAATCTATATAATGGTACATCATCAAGAATATTACTGTGGGGCTTCCCTGGTGGCACAGTGGTTAAGAATCCACCTGTCAAGGCAGGGGACACGGGTTCGAGCCCTGGTCCGGGATGATCCCACATGCCGCGGAGCAACTAAGCCTGTGCACCACAACTACCGAGCCTGTGCTCTAGAGCCCGCGAGACACAACTACTGAGCCCGCAAGCCACAACTACTGAGCCCACGTGACACAACTACTGAAGCCTGCGCACAGCAATGAAGACCCAACGCAGCCAAAAATAAAACGTACAGAAAGAAAAAAAAGAACATTACTATGGAAAAATAACTAACACTATGAAAAATGTACACTATGTATTGTTTTACAAGTACAGAGACACGCTAGACAGAAAAATATACATTCAGGTTCACAAAAATATTAACCGTGTTACATCCCTAAACTCTGTGAACAGAGGTCACCCTGCTCCTCCATGGGGTCTAACGTTGAGCGGGATGCCGGACACAGAGGAGGTACCTGATAAATGTTCGCTGAAAGGATGAATGAATAAGAGAATTCATTTCTCCAGGCTGTCAGAGTGGGTAATTTCTACTTTCTTCTTTGCGCTCTTCTACATTTCCTAAATTTTTCTGTATCAGTGATGTATTTACTCAAGTAATCAGACAAAAAATACTGAAAGAGACTACGTCCTTTTTAACTAGATACAAACACCCTACTGATTCTGTGTCTGTCGTGCTAACAGGACTGGCCTCCTTGCTGGCCTGGCTTGTCCCCACTAAGGTCATCCCATGTACTTGATCATTAAAAAGCAAGGGCAGTGATGCCCGAGGGTGGCCTCCGCCTTGCGTTGGAGGAAAAGGGAAAGTGTGTAGCAGTTCAGCGAGGCGCAGGTGCCGCGGAGGCGCCAGACTCTGTGTGTCTAGGGAGCCAAGCGGGGCGCGGCCCACGGCTGGGGTGGGAACAGCCGAGGCGGCAGGGGGCAGGCTCCGGGCCTCCCGGACCTACCGATGATGTAGGAGAGGATGAGGTTCCAGCCGGTGATGAAAGCCCAGAGCTCACCCACGGTGACGTAGCTGTAGAGGTAGGCCGAGCCCGTCTTGGGGACCCGAGCGCCAAACTCGCCGTAGCAGAGGCCGGCCAGCACGGAGGCCAGCGCGGCCACCAGGAAGGAGATGACGATGGCGGGCCCCGCGTTCTCCCGGGCCACGGCCCCGGCCAGCACGTAGACGCCGGCCCCCAGCGTGCTGCCCACCCCCAGCGCCACCAGGTCGAACGTGTTGAGGCAGCGGGACAGCCGGCTCTCCTCCCAGCTGCAGTCCACCACCTTCCGCCGCAGCATCTGCTGCCCGATGCCCACCAGCGCCTTGCACCCCATCCTGCGGCTCAAACCTGCCGAGAGAAAGAACAAGGTGTGTTTCAGCGTCGCCCCGCTCTCACCATCAACCCTTCATCGCAGCCCGGACGGCGAGGCGCGCCCTGCGGCTCAAACCTGCCGAGAGAAAGAACAAGGTGTGTCAGCGTCGCCCCGCTCTCACCATCAACCCTTCATCACAGCCGGACGGCGAGGTGCGCCCGCGTCGTCATCCACAGCTAAGGCCTCGCACGTCACGATTCCACGGCCCGCGGTCACAACACCCACCCACGGCTCCCCGGTCTCAGGCTTAACCAGCGGGAGAAACGCCCGGAGGCCCACGCGCCGGCCGACCGGGCTCTGGTCACTGAGCCTCCACACTGATTTCAGTTCTTAACCAAGAGCCTCCTACGGGCACAAAGAGCACGAGAGGCACACACTGAGGACGTCGTTCCTGCCCTCAATAATCGTGCGATTTGCCAGGAAAGGCAAGACGCCATTCCAAGTGGGCTGCTGGGGAAAGAAAACCAAACCACATTTTAATTTAATTATTAGGACCCAGAGGCCTTGAGTAGCAATGACAACGCCGTTTAGAGACCTTCCTGGGATCCTCTGAGACGGCAGGGGTCAGGCCGCCTCCACTTTAACACAGAGTTAGGTCCAGAGCAGAAAAGCGTTGAATTACTAACAAGTCAGGGCTCCTTGTAACCGTCACTACCCGGGGAAGCACTTCCCTGGACCAAAATGTTGGCCCCAAGTGCTGTGTGATGCGCTCCTGATCACACGCCAAGAGGGGGCCCCCGTGCACACACGGCTCCCGGCCTCCGACTCTCACACGGGACACACCCAGTGGGGGTCCCAGGATGCCACCCACACCGTGAACAGCATCCCAGGACAGTGATTTAAACGCTGACAGACACGGCCCCGGCCAGGTGGCCAAGGTCGACATCAACAGTGACAAGTTATAGTTGACCATATGATGTGATAAGAAGGGCCTTTACCTCTGACAGCCTCCTCCCCAAACCCATAAGCCCAGGCTAACCCTGAGAAAAAGATCAGACAAATCACAGGCGAGACGAACTCTCTTCGAAACACCTGACCAATCGTCAGGAGTCATCGAAAACAAGGAAGGTCGGAGAACCGTCTCGAGCAGGGGGAGCCCAAGGAGACAGGACGCCACACGTCACGTGGGAGGGGATGGGATCCCGGAACAGAAGGAGGATGGCAGGGAAAACTAAGGCGGTCTGAATAAAGTGTGGACTTCCGCTGTATCAATATCGGCTCGTTAATCGTAACTAAAATACCACACTAGTGTCAGATGTTAACCAGAGAGAAGAGTGGGTGCGGGGCACGTGGGCACTCTCTGTACTAGCTTCACGGCTTTCCTATAGATCTGTAAACGTGTGCTAAGATAGTTTTCAGACAACAGCATCTGCAGAGATAAGCTATCACCATGACTTTTAGCTCCTAAAAATTCATCTTTATGATCCATTGGTATTTACTGACCTACCTTTGCTGTAAGCAAGTCACTGGAAAGCAAAACGGTCTAAATGGAGACGGCAGGTCCAGCCAAGTCCACACCCAACCACCTGGCGCCCTGGACCGCCTGCCCACACCCTTGTGGCCCCGCCCCCTCCCAGCCTCAGGCCAGGCCCCCGTGGGTCATGTCACTGGCCAGCTCCCGGTCACAGAGGGACCAGTGGATGGTCCTCTCTGCCAGGCCAAGAGGAGAGATAAAGTTTCTCAAGACTCAGTTTTTAGCTAGAGTGGGCAATCAACTCATCCGATCTGACCTCCTTCTCGTAAAGACGAGGGAAAACAACTCAGACACCCAGTGTCAGACAGGGTCACGAGCTCGGAAGGTGCGGGGGAGGCTCCACATCTGGGTCTGGCGTTGGCGGGGGTGGGGGGCGGGAAATGATATCACCGTCAGTGAGGTGGGGAGGAAGTGGGAGGAAATGAGGGAAAAAGACCTTGTTAGTGGAACAGCAGTGGAGCAGGAAAATCACAGACACAGGGGCTGATGAGAGCTGAGAGGGCAGGGACAGACCAGGAGACACGCAAAGGAGCAATGGCGCCCGGGGGGTTTCCGGCCACTCACGGGCCAGCTGCCGATGCTCGGTCGGGCAGTGAGGACCTGCCGGGGCTCCAGTGCTGTCCGGGGAGCCCAGGGCGCGAGTCCTCCCGGGCCTGCCTCTCCCTTTCTTCCTCCCAGGGTTCACCTGGATTCATTCAGGTCAGGCTGTGAACAACAGCAAAGCCTTACTAAGCCACTGCTTGGACGACAAGCCAAAGGGCAGACGCGCCGTTCCAACACGGCCCTGAGCAGAGGAGGAACGTGTGAGGATGCGGCACAGAACTGCTCAGCATCATCTTGGGGAGGGAGGGGAGTAGTTTAAGAAGCCAGGAACCTTCAAGGGGAGCGGAGTGTGAAAGCTCCCGGTTACTGGCATTGTTTCCAACTTGCCTGGTAAATGGGACTGACATTTAGAGAGCGCTGACCTGCTCGCGTCCTCTCCTAGATGTAGTCGTTGGTTCATAACAGACGGATTCTCTCCCCTAAACCAAGTGCAGAGCAAAGACAGTGCAGTTAAATAGCGTTTTCTTTCCTCAGCTTCACAGAGGAAAGTAACCCCAGGGCCCAGGAGGCACCTGCCTCCCTCTGAACGACCAGACACGCTGTGCCCTGGGCTCTTTGCAAGGGCTGGGTCCACAGCGCACACGCCTTTCCAGATGTGCTGCCGTCTGGAGCAGAAGCAAGAGCTGCCGGAGTGACCCGACTGGGACGCCTGGCGAGGGGCACACTGGAGCCTGGGGACACTTTCCCGAGAGCCCGGTGACCTCACTTTAGGCCGGAATGACCCCCCTGGATGCGCAGCTGCAGTGCGTGTGCCACATGCCCCTGGGTGGTATCACCGGCACAGGCGGACACCCTCTCCAAGAACCCACTCACTAACCCTGGGGGGCCCCCGCACCATCTTCAAAATAAAGGGGGCGGGGCATCAAATTCTGTAAATTTAGATACCGATTTTAGACGCAGGTTTTCAACCGTATGTGAACGGGACTTCTTGGTGGAGCCCACCAACCGAGACTCCAGGGAGGCAGTGGACTTCTAAGCAGGGACACAGCGCCCCCGTTCCTCACAAAGGGTCCCGGGCTGTTCCTCCCTCAGAGGAGCCGGAGGGAAGTGCTCCGGGTGCCAGTGGACGGGAGCACAGGAGGGCCCGTTAGTTCCACCTTGGTTACTTCCTCGGAGCTCCCTGCTGTCTGGGGAAAGGGCAAACCCAACTTCTTTGGAAGCCACTGGGACAGAAACGCAGCTGCTGAGGTCCTGCGCTGAGAATGAGGAAAATGCAAGTGCGCTGTTTCTACTTTCCAGGGTGGGAGAAAATGAGATGCTCGCTAACCTTGTTCAGGTTTATTTTAAAGAAATGTCCTTTCTGTCTCCTTGGGAGTCGTGCAAAAACTATTCTCCGGGTGGCATTGCCTGGCGGCATTCTGTACACATTACAGCGCGACTCACATTCACGCCTGGACTCCTAAGGTGGGCACTCAGCCAGCAGTGAGACCAAATGAAACTTCTCCGTGTGAAACCCATCTAACCACGTCAACACCGGCAACGTCAGGGTCATGCGGACTTCCTGCTGCTGGGATTTACGCAGACAGTCACCAAATACTTTGAAAGGATTATCTGGAAATTACGTTACCCTCTCACGTGGGGAGGAATTTGTGCCACAGTCGACACCTACACTTTCAGTTTTTGACAGAAATCCTGTAACAGCAAGAGCCTCAGATCTGTCTTACTCCCGATTCATTTATTAGTAAAGAGCACTTACCTTATGTGTTATCCTCTCAGAAAAGCAAAGAAAATCTGCCCCTTTCCCACAGAATTTCTAACCCCAAGTTTTATTCTGGTGATCTCTATATAACAATAGGAGCCAAGTGACCAATGGTCCAGATTGCAGAGATAAAGATGCTGTGTTCAAGGCGTCTGACAAAGGTGGGCAAGTGGGAACTGGATGATTTTTTTTTACTCTCAAACGTCATGACAGTCCCATCACTGAAAAAGTCCGCTTAATGGCTCGTGGGAGGGAGGGGAAGAGGTCAGACGTAGGCTGCGGTAGACACTAAGTTCATAAATCCTTTGGGGAAAGTCTTAATATTGAAATTTTATTGCCCATACTTGTGCTTTTCCTTTAAGCGATCTTTACGACGGTCCCAGACATGGGAGCCACCTAGAGTGACATCTGCCCTTCCCGTGGGAGAATGATGCACCGTGGTCCACACGTGTCCCGGGCCAGAGAAAGTAGGTCCTCGCTAGGGCGCTCACCTGTGCGACACACAGACCGGGGGGCCGACGAGTCAGCAAACTCACTTCAGCGCTCCTACGGCCACGTGGGGGACTCCCCCCAGGAGCCCCCAAGGCTCTAGAGCGCATGCAGGTTTCACAAGGAAGGGAGCAGAGGGCCCACAACAGGGCCCTCTCAACCAGATGTGGTCCAAGGGGGTCCAAAAAAAGAGCGTTTCGGGACGTGGGCCATCGTGGGGACGGAGACTCACGGCAAGGAACAAAATCTGAGTTGAAGGAAGTTCTTCTCCAAGCCAGATTCACAGCCCCCAGATGTCAGGAGGACCAGGTGCAAGAGCTTAAAGTTAAAAAAAAAACTGTGGCGTGGAGGGGACCGGCTGATGCTGATGGAGACCCAACGTGTGGGCACGTGGAAGGAGGGAAGGAAACAACAGAAGGGAACGAAAAGCACAGAGGGGGTGGGGGGGAGGGGACAACACAGCAGGGAAGGTCTGCAGTGGGTGACAGGGGCCGGCCGGCTCACACCCCACGTCCTCAATGGGCAGCAGGAGCCTGTCTGCCTCCAGGACCCAGAGTCTCTCTTAAAGTCCCTCAAGATCTACACTTGTCTGACCCCAGGCAGCACGGCCATGCTGAGGATAAAACTGAATTCCTCCAAAATTCGCAGATCTCACAGCTGTTAAGATGCCCTGTGCTGACACGGCCAGGTTTAGGGAAAAGCATAAACCC